TGCACCAACGCTTGCTTGAGCTATGTCTGTACTGCCAAAAGTTGCTCAATAGTCGGTGGCGGTGGTGGTGGTGGATGTGGGGGAACACCTCCATGACCTCGGCCTCTTCCTCTTCCAGACATCTGCTATCAAATATTCAAAATTTAGAAATTTCCAAGTTAGAATACATTCTGAAATTTTTTTGGATGAGTCTCAACCTCAGCAGCTCGATAAAACAGTCATATCTTGAGTTCCAGAAATCCAAATGAGGCGTACTTTATATGGTTGGAAATATTAAGAAATTATCTACAACTTTTATTCAGACCAAATTCCCAGATTCTGTAGTTAGGTTACTCAAAAATAGGATACAACCGATACTGTTTCCAGATTCTAGACTGCACAGAAACTTCATCTTGAGACAGCGATATCTCACAAAAAAGATCAAATATAAGCATGATTCCAGAGGCATTGGAAATATACCTAAGTCTAGTTATTCCCATAAAAATTTCATAATTTTTTGTCGAGTAGATTTTAATTGGCATAAAGATAAAGGCAAACTGCTCCAAAAAACAGATTCCGATAGAACAAGATGTAACAAACCCAACTATTTATTTATTGATCCAAACATTAATATTCTTAACTATGGAACTTGCGGGCATGCCCACAAAGTTTCAGCACTCATTACAAAAATCCAACTCATACATTAACACAATAACAAATCAACTAAGCACACCAATGTTCACACCGCACTAATAGACTCGACTAGACTCAACTTGACTCATTCTACTATCATTTTATTACATAAAAGGGACTCCAACATCTATGGGCGAGACTTATAGGGAAGCTCCTCGTACATCTTTGGCAAGTTGAGGCACACCCTTTGTTCATCTATCACCTGTCGGTGTCTCTTGATGGTTTTCTGTTGTGCCTTCAATTGAGCCTCCAATCGACGAATCTTTGCTACGGAATCATAGCCAAAGTGTACCATTACTTGGGTTGTTGGATCCGTGCCCTACGGGTCCATCATCGCCCATCCCAATTCTGGGTGTTGGTGAGGGAGGAATCGATATTGGTCATTCTTCATATCCTCAAATCGACGACCACGGAGGTCTATGAAAGCTTCAGCGGCTGCATCTTTTATGCTGTCCTCCATGGTAGCACGGTGAGCATGGTGCGCATAGTTTGAATCCAGCTGATATGCGTCTTTCAAAGGTGAGCAGGCAGGGGTCACTATGAAGCCTTTCAAAGTTTCGTCTAACAAGTTAGGGCCATTAGATTCACTTGGCAAACAGATGTAGAGCCCCCCTTCCCGATGGCACATTGACACGCAGCCTATTCACATGGGGACAGATGTCGCACTATACCCGATTCGTCAAGCCATTCTTACGCCAATAAAGGTAACCACTAACAAGCTAGAAAAGGTCCTCATACTAAGCTAAAGCTAGAGCCATGTAGCCCTCACAGCTATACTGTAAGTCCCGGATGATCACTTACAGATAAGTCCTTAGGGAGAGGTAGAGGAAGCCAACAGAGCACAAAACCTAGCACAAGAAGTAGGCCTCGCAGCGATTCAACCTTTGATTAGCAATCTCAGCAGCAGCAGGAGGCCAACAAACAAAAGGATCCACAATGAAAAACCCTAAACCTACCACAACTATTTATAGGCGTCCATCACCCACACCAAAGGAAGGCAGGCGTCACATATCCCGAAAAAATAGCAACTGAGAGAGCGCCGCAGTTCCTGAGAAAAAAGGCGAAACTACCTCCTACAATCACGTGTCCGATCAAGCAGCACACTAGGCCCAAAATCGCTCCAAATTAACAAAGGCCTAGCACTGGTCGAGCATGATAGGGCGTCGCTGCGTCGGGCCGCAAGCTACGTACCCTAGCATGCCTCCCTCCACAAGTTTTAGCGTGGCTCCGACCCATCATGCTGGCCCCGACCCTCGAGGGGCTACTGTTGGGGGCAGGTTCCCCTGGCACTGCTCCACGCTAGCCCTCGGCCCGGCGCTGGCTTAACTAATATGACTCGTCGCAAATGCTAACCCCCACGGCGAGGGTATCCTAGCTCGTTATGTTTTGATTGTGTGACCAGGCGAGGGGCCCTAAGGTTGGCCGATACTAAGGAGGACGGAAGGAGAAGCACCGAAAGCCAAGGACGGGCGGATTTGGAGGAGGAGGCGCACGGGCCAACCCCCTCTGGCTACAGCGGCCACCACACGTAGCGGCGGCGCGCGGGGAGGCCCACACCGGCGACCGCGGCCCTCTCTCACCTTCGAGCACAGAACGGCAACCCCTCCTTCTCCTCTGAGCATAGCATCCCTTCCTTGTCCCTCGTGCGTCGGCCACCAGATCCGGCCTCTAACTGTCCACCGGCGGTGGATCCGACCACCGGAGGTGGCAGGGGCGCAGATCCAGTCACCAGCAGCGGTGGGGGCACGGATCCGGCCACCACCAAACAGATCTGGCTACCAGCGGCTGCGACGGTGTGGATCCTGCCACGGGCAACGTCGGTGTGTGGTACTAGGCTCGGTGGGGTTTTTTTATTTCATGAAATTATTAACCGAGGCGGGCTACTTAACTTAACCGCCTCCGTTAATAGCATTAACCGAGGCGGTTGTCTTATGCCGACCGCCTCGGTTAATCTATTAATCGAGGCGGTTAAAGGTCCGATTAACCGTGACCTTTCGACGGAAGCGGTTGGCAAAACCGCCTCGGTTAATGATTTTTGTCCACCTCGGTTAAGATTCTTGTAGTAGTGTGTGTCCCTAAATTCATGGGTCTCTAAACATGTCCAATGCTCTAGCACTAGTTCAAATGGGTTTCAAACTGAAGCGGCATGCTGAAACATTGTTGATTTATATAGATTGTCTTAGAGATAGTAATTAGCTCTTACTATTGCTACATGATATATATAGATTATTTTTTTGACAAGGGGTATATATAGATGTTAACTACGCAGGTTATTAGTATGTCTATTGTTGTTTTTCTTGTGTAAGTCTCCACTTAAAAGTTAACACTATTTTAAAAATTGTCTTAGAGCTAGTAACTAACTCTTATTATTGCGCGTGTCCTTATTATGACCTTGGTGGTGGTGTTGCAGCTGGAGTGAAGTAGTGTTACGTGATCGTAGCTACTGAAGTGGGCCCACTTCAGTCCAGACAAGAGGAATTTACTTCAGTCCAGACTTCGAAGTGGGCCGATGCATGCACCCATGTGCCTCTTGTCTGGTCTCACTGCCTCGAGCCTCGGGTGCCTCTTCAATTTTTTCCCCTCTACGATACTGGGATGCTTTGTGCTTCGTTGTTTATTAATTCAATGACCGAGCGTAATAATCTATTAATTCATAGTACAAAATAATTGTCGTTGATTATGGCCTTAGCTCCCAACGGTGTATTGATGATGGTTTCTATCCTCATTAAATGACTTGCCACGTAGGTAAAATGTTGACATGGCAACGTAGTTAATGAAGAAAGAGAGCAAAAATCATAGAAATGGTTTCCTCATGAAGAAACCAGGTCTTCTGTTGACCCAATGCACCAAGAAACCATGAAATCGTCATTGGGGAGAAACCACTAGTTTCTAGGGGGCTCGTGCCGCACTCATATTGCAGGAAGAAGATAGAGTTAGGAGAGAGAAAGAGAAAATAATTATTACTCATAGAAACCATAGGTTGGAAACCATAGGTTGGAAAATAATAATTACTACTAGTTTCTTTCATTGGAACTGCACTAAGCAACTTCTTTAATAGTGCTAACTTTTAGCATATGGCTCATAACATAGATAGCTCCACATGACACCCTCATACGGTATAGGATTGTATCTATGAGCCTAGCTCTTAATCAAAAGCTAGCTTTTCTCTCTTTCATTCAAATATGAAAAAAAATACTTATAGCTAACTTATAAGTTACCCATTGTGGATGCTATGAGGGAGTGGCAGAAGAGTGGAGGTGGTCCATGGACCATGTGCTCATCAGCAAGGGCAGCCAGTAGTGACATGCTATCTTGCTCCTATTGGTGAGCACGGAAGAGATCTGGACGGATGGGATAAGGGCGACTGCTTGGTTGATTAAAAAAACTGATGCTAGGGCCTAAAATAAATAGAAATTAATAATGTGTTGCAAAAATGTGAATATCTAATTTGTTGTACGGAGTATGCATGATCTCCCAAACTTTATTCTTCGATGACATGATTTAACTATTAGACAAGTTTGTTGGATTTAGCAAGATAGTCAGATGCCATCTCTTAGAGTAAATCCATGCGGGACTCACAAATCGACAAGCTGGGCTGGTGACAGTTGCCTTGCGGGGGATACGACCGGATGAACTACTAGCGCCAAGCTAATTTTATTTTCTCTTTTCACTCTTATCTATGTTGAATTTTGCTAAGTTATTTTGGCTATAAACAAAGCTCACTAGACTTACACTACTGGAAACTCGCTTTTTTCTGTGTGTGCGAAAACACGCAGAAAAATGCGAATACCGTCAGAAAAATACACACAGAAATATAATGACAGAAAAATCTAATTTTTCTGTGAGTTTACCGTCAGAAACAATTTTTCTGTGAGTCTCACACGCACAGAAAAATTGTATTCGCCCAGATTAAAACTAATTTTTCTGTGTGTTAATCCACACAGAAAAAAGAAATAAACGCACAGAAAAAACACATGTTTTTTTTTCTGTCGGTCTAGTTGAACTCACAGAAAAATTAATTTCGTCCAGATTAAAAATAATATTTCTGTGTAGCCAGCCTCACGGAAAAAAAGAGTTAAACACACAAAAAAAATTATTTTAAAACAGTAGCAACAGCATGTTGAAATATATATTGTCCATACAGTAATTTCATGACACATCACAACATAATAAATACATTCATAGGTGTCTAAATGTTGAGCACATTCATAGGTACATAGATGATGTCCAAATGTTCCGGCATCAATACATTCAAAACCCTCATACTAACCAAGATTCAGCTCTTGCTAGTTCTTCATGCGCTTGTCCCTGATACTATTCAACTTTTGCTAATTCTTCATGCGCTTGTCCCTGGGAGTGACCATGGCAGTTGAGTCTGTCACATCCTGCAGATCAAGCATTGACTGAGATCTCTTGAGAGCTGAGAACTGCTGGTATGACTACAAAAGTTCAACAAACCACATAGCAGAGAATTCGCAATTAGAACCTTTGCTGACACTGAAGTGAAATAACACTACCAAATGAAATCAAAGTAGCCCAATTGGAGAATCTCCATCATTTTCCCCATCAAAAAATAATATGCCGTCTTTGTATCCCAGCACTTTCTAAGACTTAAGATCTCGCAAGGTTCTTTCTAAGATAAAGCTAAGTGAAGACTAGAACATACCTCCTCAATACTGTTTGGGATATTTTCCTGACAATGAGATCCAAAAATTGCAGGCCTCTCATCGGTTATCACAACCATTTCATTGTGACTGTTAGTGGCCTTTCCTCCAAGGCCTGTCATTTCATCAGCTTTTACTGGGATTTTCACCGCTTCAGCCAAATTCTTCTGTCGCTCCTTATTATCCTGCAACGACTTAAATGCTTAGTAACAAATATTTATCATATTAAGGAACACTTGGTAGACATAAACAATATAGCTTCTACTCACATGAGCTTCTGGATGAGCTTCTTTGTCATTGTTGGCATGCTTTCTTTCCATAGGCCGCGTCTGTTGTTTTCGAGCTTCTTCAATGCATTTCTTTTTTCTCTCCTTTTCCCTCCTTTCCTCCTCATCCCTCTGCCTCTTCCTTGTTGCCACATCAGTACCTCTTTTCTTCTTCTGTTCCTCTTCCTGTTTTTTCTTCGGCTGCCTCAAGTGCCTTCACTCTGACATCTTTTTTCACTACAAAACAGAAACCCCAGTTGTAGAGGCCTTCTGTGAGCACCACTCAACAAATATTTCTAACTCAAGGATCAGTTGCCTACTAGATTTAGCATAATTTACTTATACTAATACTCCCTCTATCCCAAAATATAGGGTGTATTATGTTTGGAGAAAGTAAACCATACTATACTTGGACCATTAATCTCTCATAGAGTATATTACCAATTAATACAAAATCAATATCGGTATTAATGATATTCCAAGTAGGAATCTAGTGGTGCAACTCTTGTAGACTAAACATGTTCAAATTTTGAGTAATTATTGGTCAAAACTTGTGAACATTGATTCCACCAATTCCTAGTACGCACTGTATGTTCGAGATGAAATAGTGGAAGTAACAAATAAGACTTACCACATGCAGGTTGCACCTTTGGCTTTACAAGAGGAATCACTTGCCAAAGATTACATGCATCTGCCAACTACAGAAACATTTGGTACAGCTGCACAACCTTTCCAAACTTGGAAAAGAATTCCATGAATTCATCTGTCAATTCAAATATCACATATCAAAATGATTGATTAGGTTGATATATGCAAGATATTCAAGATACTGTTTTCATAGCATCTCCAAGCTGCAGGATGCACCCCCAATTTCAGTCCCCTAAAGCTGAAATATTTTTGAATGTGTCACCTCAGTTTTCCCATCTGAAACAATGTAACAAAAAAGCCTGAGAGATGGAACTCACTTGGAACAAAGAGACATGTCTATTTTACATTTTCCTCCACCACACTATCTTTTGGCCTAAGTCGTAGATTTGCTGGTTGCATACCTACATGAGAAAATAGAACAAAGAATTAACCAAACAAAACAAATGGTTTTAACAGGCAGTTTGACATGTACCAAACTAGTAACATACATGAGGTGCTATACTAGTCAGCGCTTTCACAAAAATATCCAAATTATTGCTAAGAAATAAGACATTGTTTCAATCTGTAGAAGCATATAGACCATTTTATTTTAGAGAAAGACATACAACCAATAGAAAGAGATAAAACGTATAATCCATTTGTCCAAAAATTGAATTACACCAACCAGATCAATGTAATGATTTTGTTTGGGTTAAAGAATTAATAAGTGCTGCCCCTAGCTGCTACAATTTGAATAAGCTGCTGCTACCATTTGAGCCTGACACATTCTTTACCTCAAAGACAGAGTAACTGCTAATGCATGGTCTGAATTTTAAGATGCAAGCAACATATACGCAACTGTATTTTCAATTCTACTACGAACCTGTCACACCCTAAAATTTTGATTTCTAAAAAAGAGGTTTAATTTTGATTTTATTATGCTTTTTGTGTGCATTCTAACATAGGGAAATTAAAATTTTGATGAATTTATAAAATAAATCATAAGGTTGCAACATGTTTGAGCACACATACCTCTGCATTGGTTTTGTTGTGATGTGTGGTTTTGACCAAAAAAAATGATTCAAACGATGTTTGAAAAGGATTTGAAAATGGCTTTTGAATAAAAGAAAAAAAAACTTTCTTTTTATTTATTCTTCCTCCTCTGCTTTATGGGCGTCTGGAGCAGCAGGCCCACTCCCCCGTTCTCTCGGCCTTGTGCCTAGGCCCAGGTCGAGCAGCCCACTCGCACTCCCTCAGGTCCTCATCGCAGCAGGCCCAGCTTCCCCTTTCGCTGAGTCACAGACATGTTGGTACCTAGCTCGGACTCGGCCTACGAATCTTCCATGGTTCCTGGGATATTTCGTGTAGAAACCACGACTCGATCCACCCCTATAAGAAGGTCGAGATGTTGACGTGCTGCACCTCGTTTTCCATCTGCGTGAGCCCTAGCTCCTTCCTGCCATCGCTTTAAATCACGCCATCGAGAAGCAGTCCGTCCACCAAAGTCGCTGAGGCATCCTGGTAGCAGCCGCCGCGTGCCCTGACGAGTTGTACCTGTACATCATCGATCTTCCTCATCGCTGGAGCTCCTTGTCCGTGAAGGCACGCCGCCACCGTCCTGAAGCCCAGGCCTGCGCCCGACCGAGAGTCCGAGAGACCGAGACCCAGCGTCGTGCTGCTTGAATCAGCGTGATGCGATACCTTGCAATCCAAGCTGGCTCTGCACCAAGTCGATCTATCTTCCGGCCTAGCAGAGCTGCAGGCCTGCCTTGTTTCTCCGGTCGTCGAGTTGACGACATGCGCTAGCCGTGCTTCCTGCCTACATCTACTACACGTGAGCCACTCCTAAGGATGCAAGGCCACGACGCATATATGTCTTCTCTGCACATGTCCTTGGGTGCTACGCACCAGCAGCATTTGGAAGCCGAACCGGTTGTCAGCTAGTTCGGGCTGTAAGTACTCGCCGCGTCTCTGCGTTTTGCTTTGTTCAAGTTATGTAAGTTTCATGCCGACGTAATTTACGTGTTAGTATCGACGGTCATCCTATCACCTGGCTATGAATTTTATAATTTACATATTAATCTGATTAACCTACAACCAATTAGCTTTCTAACTTAAAAGCAATATATATATATATATATATATATATATATATGTTACACTTCAGTATTTAATAAATGATATTCATATGATTAATTATTAATATAAATGTATTCCTAAATTATAGTTTGATTAGTTTAAACACACCTTGCATATATTAAACATGTTAGATGCTCTCACGTGCATTTTACTTTTGCAAAGTTAAAGTTTGACTTGATTAATCTATATGGCAATATTTATAAATAAAACATGATTTGTTTTAGCTCAGATTTAGGAGTATACATTGTGAACTTAAATATTAACTTGATTAAGATTAATGTGCAACTAGCTTTCTAAATTAATTAAAAGCAATATAGGTTTTCCACGCCGGCCTTAATAAATGAATATTAAACTGGTTATATCAATTTCAATATATGTTTTGATTATAATTTGTTTAGCTGAACTCACGTCATATTCAGTTATAGTGTAGATGCTCTTACATGTTCTTTTAATTTGAAAAGTTAAAGTTTATTTTGATTAAATAATACATGCACATCCGCTCCTTAATACATTATTAATTATTCCATTGATAAATCCTAAACTGATGTAATGCTTACATCATTTTGGTTTTCCTTTTAAAAATAATAAATGCAAGGGCTTATACGTGCTATATATGTTTTGAATATATACTCTCACTTGTTATTATATCTTTGTAAGTCAAAATTTAATTTGCATAAATGATATCAAAATAACTATAATTAAGATATGAATAGTTTATCTTAGTTTTCTAAATCTAATAACTCAAGTATAAAATGACTTAACTCAATTTAGATATTTCTCTGAGATATCTTATACATGTTTTATAATCATTAAAATAAATAAAGCATATCGATAGACGTTTTCGTTTCACCATAGGTCTGATTAGTGTGATTTTCGCGTTTGTGTGATCATAGCAATGCGTAGGCTAGTTTTCAAACCTTTTTATTCATTGGTGTATTGTTCTAAATTTTCTATGTTTGCTATGCATGTTTGATCGGATGCTTGTGTGGTGTTCTTTGATCATGTCCAGTCGGTGAGATTTGCGTCGGTGATCTAGATCAAGTTGGTGAGCAAGAAGCAGTTCTTTGAAGGTTTAGACTTGAAGAAGGATCTAAGTTAAAGGCAAGTATAGCTTGGGTTTTCTTTCTGTGACCATGATCTTGGGCTTGTTTAATGAAATGTGAAATAAACATAAATGATGAATGTTATCCTTTGGCAAAAGCTGGGACTTACGGTACAGCTGTGAGGGCTATATGGCTCTGGCTCTAGTTGCTTAAGAAACCCTTTTCTATAGCTGGTTAGAGGTCTGCGAGTTGGGTATAGGACAGCCTCTGTCCTGTTGAGCTTAGCTTTGGAAGCGGCCTTTTACTTTATTTTTGGAAGGGGGGTTCCTATATCTGATGACCCTGCGGCCCTGGCCGGTTAGACGAGCTCTTGGGTGGCTTTATATGGTTCTCTGTGTTTTGGGCCTAGCTAACTCGGGCATATGAGAATCATGACTCACAGTGAAAGTGTACACCTCTGCGCAGAGTTTGATAAACTGGTATACTAGCCATGCCCACGGATACGGGCGGCCCGGAAAACTAAGGGAATTGTTGTATGTTCATTTAAATTGTTTATGTGCGATTCATTATTCAATTACACTTGATCATGTGGTTATGGATTACACTACCTTGTTGCTATATTTGCGGAGTTCGACATTGACTCACTCTTGCAATTTCCCCCACACCTCAGGCTGGATAACAGTCTGTCAGAGACTTGAGAAGTTGAGCTTGTGATCAACCAGTCAGTTGGATCCAGTGGAGTGAAGTCTGCACCCGGAGATCAGAGTTGTCTATCCGTTGATTGCTTTCTAAGGTTATCTTTTTTGCTAAGTTCGCTATATATTAAGCATTATGAATTGATACTGCCCCTTTATTTGTAGCTATATGTGAGATTTGATTTCTAGGGCTCACATATGGTGTGCATTCGGCTTTGTCCTTGAAACCGGGTGTTACAGAACCACATATCAATCTCACTAGATCTCTTTTTAATTTAATTCTAACACAACCAGACATGACATAGAAATATTAACTTTTTACTAAATATACAAATGTTACTACTGCTAGTCATCATATAAATTTACAGGTTTTATCCTTACTGGCACTTAAAGGCACTGGAATCACCAACCCACAAACTGAAATAAGTACAAACATTTCTAGTGGTCAGACTGCTGCTTGTGCCAACATGTTGATTAGCATCTATTTATTTATTATTTAATATGTGAGACAACATGTTATCATCAATTAGTCACCCTCACACATCTTCTGTTTTTTAATCAAATAATATCAGTATATATCACTAATTTCCGTTCAAGAAGCAACCTAAGGCAAGCAATAGGTTCTGAGCAATTAGCACATTGTGAAAGCAAGAAACAGTGTTGCTAGTTTGAAACAAGGATTAACACTGAGGTCACACCGAGCAGATTAGCTTCACAGGGCAGTACAACAGTTGCTCATCTCACTGTTACAAAACTACTAATAAACAATGGAATAGTAAGTATACATCTCACACACCATCTATCTCAGCATGGTCTAGCCTCGCAGCCATTTTGGAAGAGCTTTACCTTGAATTGAAAAGGCAATTGAGGGTTCCAATGTTGCCTATGACTCTGCATATGGACCACTGCAGCTTTCAAGCCTCCTCCTTGCTTGTGTCTAAATCTTGAAATGCAATGCTAGACTATCAACTTAACAAGATGAAAATCTGTGTAACATAATTTTAAACAGATGCAACTATGCAAGCAAAAGCCTAGCAGCTAACAAGGCATACCTAGCACATTTTTTGTCAATGTAAATATGATAGTTTTCCATGAATTGTTACCTGCAGGCTAGGGTTTCGTGGAGCACAAGAACCAACGCGGACCGGCAGGAGGAGGCACCACCAGTGAGCAGGCACGGCGTCGGCCACCGGCGGAGCCCAGGCGCGCTGCGCTCTGGCCGGGGACGGCCACCGTGGGCGGATCCGGGGCGGCGCGGCGGGAGGATTTGTTTATATATATTCCCTCTCTTGACGTCAAGAGAGAGATATAGGAGTATGTTTTCATGTATTGGGACGTGCAAAAAAATTAACTCTTCTCCTTCTACTAGCTCAATGACTTTTGACCTCTCTCCTTGATGTGGCATGTTACTACATCCGTCCCCCCCAAAAAAATATAATTCTAGGTGCATTCTCGGTCAAAGTGCCTATAATGTGACCAAATATATAGGTAAACTATTAATATTTATGAAAATATGTTTCATGACGAATCTAATGGTATCTATTCAGTGTAATAATATTATGAATTTTTTATATAAATTTGGTCAAACTTAAGATAATTTAACGTAGCAATGTTCTAGATTTGCATCTTTTTTGGGATGGAGGGAGTACTGGCTTAAAGGAAGTCTAATAGTAGAGCCAAGTATTTGGCTATTAGACAAGTTGCATGAGCCAAGCTACATAATAGTGGTGTATTATTTGTCTATAAGAAACTTTTTATTATTATTTTTACCCATGTCCTATCTTCTGTTTTTCTAATATAGTCCATTGTCAAATTCACTTAATGTATGGGCTCATCACTGTATATGCTTCTGTGCATAGCTTATTGCTTGCACGAGAGTCCTCTCTTATCTCCTCCATATCAACATTTGCTCGGCTATAAGCCTGTTATTGTACTTGCTCTTAGAGCTAGCCATTAGAGATGCTTTGTAGGTCAGGCGAAGTCAAGTTTTTTTTAGACCCGGGAGGTTAGAGTATAATAAGCCACTTGATCAGTGTGTCTCCAATGAGCTTTTCAAATAGCAGGTGGGCCTAGACACGGCGAGACAAGAAGAATAAAAAAAATACAAGTGTTCATAGGTAGCAGCTCAAAGAGTCAGAGCATGGGGAACCATGACTAACGAATGCGAATGCCATATATAGTTTTTATCAAAAAGCGTGCGGGTTGAGCTCTTTGCTTCTTCTTTTTTTGTCTCTACTGACACCAGCTACTATCACAGTGTAAGATTACCAGAGGCGCCCTTAGACTGTCTCCTACAGGCCGAACCCAAATACGGGACGCATTCCTTCGTATAGGTCACGCACAGAGAAAAGCTTTCGCACCCAAAACTTCATGTTTCCAACAACGGACGCAAAAGTCCAACGCAGAAGGCCGAGCGCCGCCCGTTCCTCGCCGCACCGGCTGCTCCTCGTGGCGGCCGCTCCTCGCCGCGCCGGCGGCTCCCCGCTGCTGTGCACTGTGCACGAGGTCTCTGATTTTGATTTTCGTGATTTTGTGTTTGCAGTTTTGTGTTCGTCCTTGTTCTCCCGTTCTTGCCCCAAATCGAGCAGCCCAGAGTTTGAATCAATTTCAGGCAATGATTTCTTGGGGATAGATTCGTTGCAAGTTGAATTGCATCTCTGCAAAATTTGGGAGCATTTCCTTTTGATTTGGTCAGTTTTCC